ACTAAAAATAACCTGAAATCATTCCTGTCCAGCATGAAAATGGGAGTTAAAAAGCAACATGCAGCCTATTCCAATCACAGTATCCTCAGTCCACACATCTCACATTTCACTAAAAGGAGAATTTCTGGTGGCTTCGTTAAAGGTTGGAGAATCTTTTGTCACATTTTTCAAGGTCTGCTCTCGCGGTCACAATAGGAGCTTTCTCACAGCAGGCATCCCGACCTGTCACGAGCACAGGTGTATCAATGATGGATGCATTCCGCTTAGAGGAGGTCCCGCTTTTGTGCGTGCTGGGTTCACTGTCATTTAATGGAACTGGGCCATCACTCATTCCACCTGTGACAAGCCAAAGTGTCTCCAGTGGAAAAGCCTCCATTACTGCATGAAATATGGAGATTGAAGGACACGCAGTGATAATAAACGTGTGCTCAACTCAGATGGTTCATGGAGAATGGAAAGAGAGTGACAGGTGCAGGTTGAGCTCACCTGTGCGCCGGCTGGGTGGTTCTTGACTCGGGTGTCCAGGCGGCTGTGCAGCAGCTCCTCCTCGGTGTGGATCTGTTGCAGGAGTCGCTTGGGCTGGACGACTTCTTCTGCAGGCAGCAGCCTCCCGTCCGGACTCACCCATTCCCTCAGACCTGCAGGAGAGGAGGACATCCCAGTAAAGACCTGGATGTGTCATGTTGGTGTTGTTCTCAGGCAGGATTCAGCAGCTGACAGTCAGCTGCTCGGTGCTACATGATGTTTTCTAATCAGAGAGCCACAGGCTCAATGGAAGCACGAAAAGAAAAAAAAACCCCGAACTGTTCCTTTTTTCCTTCCTAAAATGAAGCGTGTGGAGCCTCTTACCTGTCCCGGCGCACCGTGCACACACTGCAGCGAACAGCAGGCATCTCACAGCGAGCATGATGCTCACATAGTCCCACTGATTTCCTCGGTGCAGCGCCGTTAAACCAAGTGACCGGAGCCGTGAGCGGAGCGGCGGCAGCAGGACTGTTGTTGACGGCGGACGCGCACACACAAACAGCTGGGTTCTCGTAAACGCGACGCCCGCATTTCTCACCGGGGCCCCCCCTTCGACCGCCCCCAGCCAGTTAGAGACGCCCGGCAGGAGCTCCTCCTCTCGGCTGCAGCGACATGCTGAGTGTCGGTGTCACGGAGCTCCACGGCGGCAGCAGCAGCGCGCGCGCACACACCTGAGAGAGTCGGGCTCGTTATCGCAGTGAGGCTGCGCGAGGAGCCTGGAAACAAGGAGCACGTGGGGCTGGACGGGGCCCACCCACGCGCTTTGATGAGCCGAGGTGGGGCCCAAGCTCTGGTCCGGGGACCCGAGAGGTGATGCCAGACAGTACACTATTAATCCAGAGAATAAATCATAACATAGTAGTATTTCTGCTTTTCCTAAATAAGATATAGTAAACTAGGGTAACCCCGCCCCCATTTTTAAATAGACATTCATAAACTATAAATCCAGACTAAATAGTATTTTAAAAAAGCATTTACCTTTTCTGCTTTTCCCATATTTTTTATTATAGGTCTGTCTAAACTGCCTGCATTTTAATTTACTTAATTGTTTTTCTATTTTATTGGACACTTTATCTTTTATGTGTTTTCATTTTTTTGTTATCTTCTTTTTCCAGCTTTAGTCAATCAATTTGAAATGTTCTCTAAAACTGATGTGTATTTTATTCAGTGTCTGGCCTATTTTTGATTTATTTCATTTAAATAATTTAAAAGATGAGGTGCTGTATTGTAAATGAGTTTTGAGAGGCGCTACAGAAATATTAATTATTACTATTTTTTTTTTATGGCCAAGCCACAGATTACTAATAATATTTTGTAGTCTCTGTTGATTAGAATAATAGGAAACCCATATTAAAATTTAATGAGCATTGACATTCACGTAACAACAGTTTACTCATATGTGCATTTATGGTGTATTTTCATGAATATGCTAATTAAAATTGACAATTTTTTTCCAGATAGTCCAATATTTTTGATGTCTTCGGTGTGGTGAAATTGCTGTTTGCCAGTTCAATTGAGTACATGCTGTGGAGCCTCTGCTTCCCCCATACATCAGCCATGACATGTTAATTTGTCCTCGCAACGTGAACGTTCACTCGTTTTTTTCACCTTCCAACAAAGTTTAAGAAGTACAGAACACCGAGAAACTTCGAGGGCAGGACGGTTCCTGCTCCATTCAAAGTATTGTTTTATCCCAGCAGATCTGGACAGTTAAGGGTTATGTAAACAGGGATGGAGATTACGTATCAAATATTGTTTATGTCAGCTGGAATCTGCTCTGATGAGCCAACAGGACACATCGACCTGCTGCTGTCCTTGCTTCATCCTTCCCTTCCCATTTATCTCCTCCAGGCAGAGTCAGCATTTAGAACATCAACAGGAAAAATTGTCTTCACCTCACGAGCAAAAAGTATTCCTAAAGCACGCAGGAGGAAAAGTAAGGTTAAAAACATTTATTTAAACACTGTACAATCTTCACATTTTCCTTTCAAAGAATTGCTACTCGTCCACAAAGTGACATCATGTGGCGTTTCCATTTGCTGCATTCATATTTTAAATGTCCATGTAACATGTTTTAAAGGAGATGAGTTGATCAGCAATAAGGAGCTTTAATGGTAGGTGACCTCAGACTGTCAAGTAAAGATAATAAACCTCTCTGGAGTTGCAGCACACTGCTGTGAAGCACTCGCATCTCCTTGACAAAGCGAGTCCTTTGGCTCACCTTCAAAAAGCAGGAAAAGCTGTATGACATTAATCAGACAGAGCGTCTCACAGGTTGTCAGTCGTCCACTCTGCGAACCCCTCGCCTGTTTGACCATCAACATCGGCACATGTGAGATCCGATCCAGGCGCAGCACTTACAGTAATTGAGTAATGCCCCCTTTCAGAAAGCCTCATTAAATTCTCAGTACCACCCTGTGTTCCCGGACATGGCTGCTGAATGACTAGTCAGCACCGACGTACAGAATTTTTCTTAGGGGTCTGTGCACAAGGAGAATTAGAGGTTGAGAGGTAAAATGATTGTGGACACATTCTAAATTCATGGGAAAATGCAGTATCTATTAATGAGCATCTAGTCCATTAAAAAGTACAATTAAAAACTAGCATGTCTACAAACAGCTATATATATATATATTACATTTTAGTCACTTCAAAGTTTTAAATATTATTTCAGTGTACAGTTGACCTGATGAGCTTAAGTGCTGCTCATTGTCTCGCAGCAGGATACGCAGCTGCAAAGTCAAAGACTTGCTACTCCAAGTGCATCTTTAATGTAGAGGTTCTTCCAGTTCTTAAAAAAAAAAAAAAAAACAGTCAGGACAATTATCAGTGCTGAACCTCAACAATCTGTACCACAGTCCTTGAAAATGCTGCAGGGTCCCTTTCGTCCCCGCACAATGAGGCGGATGGTGTTGACGGCTGAAGGACGGTGTGCAGATGCGACTCGTAGCTGGTGTCGTGCATCCAGGGACACGGCCTGTGGAGCAGTTCTTTGTCGAGCTCACAGTTGTGCTCGGCGGGCGTCAGGGGCGTAGCTGTGGTCGGACCCAGCCGTGACAGCAGGTCGCAGTCCCAGTCAGACTCTGATGATGACGGACACAGCGTGGCCATGTCTGGGATGAGGGCTGACTCGATGGAGACCGAGGTAGAGTGCGATTGCGAACGCTGAGAGTCTTGACTGGAAAACGCACGGTGAGGTTTAACGCTGGGAAAGTCCTGTGGAGGATCAAAGACCCTCGCTTTTGAGGACAGCAGGCATGACGACTGATCGGGAACGGAGTCAATTGTGTTTGGTGCCTGAGTGAAATTCTGTACAGTAGGAAAACAAAAGGTGGTGTGAGTCTGTTTCAAACCAAGCATATCCACCGTGCTTGTATTAAATGTCGAAGAGTCATTTAAATTAGGACAAGGCTGTCTTATCTGATAAGAGGCCTTGTCAAATAATAAACAGTCTTCGGTCGTTGCCATATTGTCACTTTGTGGTTGTGCAGATTTAAGCCCTTGTCCAGTTGGGCTACGACTGCACCTAAATGCTACTGTCCTCCTCCTTTTGCTGCAGCTCTGCTCAGGGCTGGCGGATCGACAGCGCTTTTTGGGGTTTGGTGCCGCAGTTGACTGTCGAGGGAGGGAACGAGATCTACATGACGACAGCGCGGCACGTTGCAGACCTCGTTTAGAACATCTGAGTTCACTGAGTCCAACAAGAGCTTCTTGGTTTGATTCCTTCGCTCCCTCTGCATTGGTCACAGACACAGAGATGGGAAGTGGGCTGGAGAGAGGATCTGTGACAGCTGAGACAAATTTGGACACAGTCTCTGCAGTGTTCATTTCACAAGTTTGTCCTTCCACAGTCTCCTCTGCGGTGTACTGTTGAGGACTGAGGACAGGGGGCTCTGAGTAAGGATTTTGTACATCCATACTGTAGGAACAATAGGGGACTTGTGGGCTGAGGACCGGAGGCAGAGTGTACGGGTCAGGGAGGCAACAAGGAGCACTAAGGCAGGGGGAGATAAGCTGAGCTTCAGGCTGTAAGTTTGGTAAGTCCTGGGTTTGTGGTTCAACATTCAGCACAGGCATGGCTGGGCTTGATGGTTGGATATCAGGGAACTGGCAGTCTGTCTCAGGATTGAAAGACCGAGTGTCAGCAGGTAGAGTTGCTGGATTTGGGATGGTAAGCTGAACTCCTGGTGAAGGACTGGCAGGGCCAAAGGAGAGAGGACCTCTAGTAGGGCTGGAAATGTGAGTATTGAATGCTGAATCTTGTCTCTGCAGGGCCTGAACAGCGTGCTCCGTCTCAGCATCAGTAAGAGGCTCCAGTTCGCAAACATCATGGACAGGCAAAGGAGTTGGTGGTCTGGAGAAGAAGACAGAATATAATCAATTTAAACCAGATTAAAAAAAAAAAGACTAAAAAAAAAACTTTGTGAGTAACATTCAAAGCTGACCTGTTCAGCATTTCTTCCGATTCCTGAGGCGGATTGGGGTTGAATTCCGGAGACATTTCGGCCACTAGTTGATCCACTGTGCTGTAGTTGGAGGGATCCAACACAAAGGCGCGGTGCTGGTCTGACTGTAAGTGCTTCAAGAAACCAGAAAGGACCACATTTAATAGTGAACAAGAAATTATTATATGCTAAGGAGAAAGAGAAATCCTGAAAGAGCCGCACCTCGTCCAGATTAGTGAAAGGCTGATGACAGCATTCGCAGTAAGACAGGTCCTTTTTGCGTGGCCGCCAAGGTGAAGGGTTACAACTGAGCGGGGTTTGGGATTTGTCCTGGGTGCTGCTTTCAACTTTCTTTTTCCTATTTACAAAGAACAAATAATAAATTCACCATCACACATTTTAACTGCATCAAACCAACTTTCCAAACAGACTGCTGTTTAATACCTGTTTTATGTTTGTTTGCTATTAATCCCAGACAAAAGATAAGCGTGAATCCACACAGTCTGTCAGAACTATAGTGGTCTCTATAATTCAAACAATTGTTGTAGTACAAACCTTGGTTTACTTTCTCCTTGCTCTGCCCGTTTATCAAACCGAGGAGGAGGAGGAGATTCAAAGGGACTGAATCGGCCCAAGTAGCACAGAGAAGGGAACGTCATTGACTGCATATGCAAAGGCTTGTATTTCCTGGATATACGGAAGATCAACAGAAGAATTAAAGGTAAAAATGCAAGTTAAAAATGGTTTTGAATCAAAACATGAGGGCAAATGAAAATGCACTGTAATGATGCTGGAAACCTGAACGCGAATTGAATAATTTGACCTTCACTATTATCATGATTGAAATATTTTTGAACTGAGAATATTTCTGAGCACTCGTGAGATTACACATCTGACCTCGCCTCCAGCGAGGCTTCCAGATGTCATGGGTTCAATATCTCAAAGCAATGGCCTACACATTAGCCAGAGCACTTCAATTAACTGTAATGAGAAGGTGAATGATAAGACCTGTTAGCACATAGTGGTCCCCTGCAGGAACAGCCAGCGGAGCTTGCAAAGCCTCATCAAATAGAAATTGTATCCGCTTGGGTTCTGGGCTCCTGGGGAGCAGCTTCACTGAGGGGGGCTTGTCACATTACATGATGGGACTTCTTAACAAGTTCAATTAAGAAAATCATCCCAGGGCTGAAATGCACACCTCCAGAACTAGCGCCCAGTGGGGTAGGAAGGGCAGAAACAATGGGACAGATCACTGCCATCCATTCACTGTCGGTATGCTCGACCTGCAAAAAGGATCTAATCTGATATTGAACTGCCATTGCATGAGCCTGCACAGGCCAAAAGGCATCCCCTTTGCCTTGCTGAATTCTAGCTCCTCTCTCTTGATTGACTGGAATTAAAAATGGAGGAATAAAGAAGCGGACCGGGCTGTCTCGGTAATATGAGAAAGTTTTGAGGGATTCCTGAGCTCGAGAGAAACTTTCTCCTCCTTAAGTGTACTGTTACTCTCAGATTCAAACCCCTCTCCCCTGTTAAGGAAAAAAATAAATAATCAATAAACGTAAACTACACTGAATGACAAGTGGCACTCACCTGCTCGAGTCTTCGATTTTAAGATAAGGAGACCTCAGAGCTGCAGCTGTGAACAAGAGGCGTGAGGAAAAACAAGGAAAACATTTAATGAACCAAAACAAATGCAGCACACCTTAAGAAAAGAGTGAGCATTGTGAAGAAACACGCATAACTGAGGTGCATAAACTAACCTTTGACAGCTGGTGAACCTTGCTTGCTGTTAGCCTTCTGTAGTTTAAAAAAAGCAAAATACATCACTATTAAATAACAATCAACATTTTTTTAATATTTTCTTATTATGTTTTGAACCCTTAAATATCCTTGCTTCTAATAAAACCTTTATGTTTGAACATTTGTGTTGTTTCCAGCTCAATCGTTATTTATTCATTTGACTTTCCTCCCTGTAAAATATAAGATCTGCTATATTTGGATACCTGATGGGAATGATGTGAGAAGACAATCAGCCCAAACCCTTACCTCTAGCCTCTTATGTTTAGCACTGAAGCTCTCTCGAGACAGCTGTTTGAGATAAAAGAGGACATCTGATACCACATTAAGGAAGAACACGTCAAGTATCAATCAAAAAACTTGCTGTTTTCCCAGGTGCTCAGTCCAAAACAAGGTACATATTTAGCAGTTACACAAGTAGTTTCAACACTGTACACTTCTAAAAAAAAAAAAAACAAAAACATACCCTTTATAGAATTTAAGAGACTTAGAAAGGCACTGAACCTCCCAGTTTACCAGAAGGACTCCACATTTCTATGCCGGTTCACAAAAGACTGCCTCGACTACCAAGATGCAGCAGAACAGGACAAATCATGAGAACTCACTTGGTGCCATCTGCTGCCTACAGAGGTTCACTGCACTTTAATCATGGTTTGTTGTGGAATTCCTCTAATAAACACTGAAGTTAGTCAAAAGGATACCGTCCACGTACAAAATCTTCACTCCCCACGATCGAGCGTTGGACAGAACACTGTTCCCCTGCAGTCGCTCCTACAAGACAAATCCAACAGAAGCAAGACACCAGTGAGAGTCAAGATATCAAACTACGTCTGTCCAGTCTAAGATCACAACCCACGAAAACTTAAAGCCCACAGTTGATAGATAGATAGATAGATAGATAGATAGATAGATAGATAGATAGATAGATAGATAGATAGATAGATAGACTTTGTCTGTCCCAAATAGTGACAGAAATTCTCCTTTGACGAGGCTCCAATAATAAAAATACAACACATAAAAACACACTTGTACAGACTTACTTGTACAGACGTCTAAAAGAATTGTTAAAAAGAAATAGCAGCCGACAAACTGTACTGTTCAGTGTCTTATTTCATTTTGTTCAGGGTGGTTACTGCAGTGGGAATGAAGGATTTTTTATAGCTGTTTTTGCAGGTCAGTGGGACTTTGTGACGTCTGCAAAATAAAGCACGTTAACTTACATTATTGCGAATGGCCTTTTCAAGCAGAGCCTTCCCTCGGCTGCCACAAGCCTGTGGAGACAAACATAGTTCAGATAAACAGTATAATTCATTCTGGCTTCTACTCCACTAACACCTGCTGGATCATTGTCAAAACGAGTTATTGATGAAAATAAAATCAATAAATATTTGGCATCTTTTTTCATGAATTTACAGCAATATTTAAATAATTCACAAAAGCATATTCATCTGTATCGTGCCACCAGATAGTAGTTAAGTTGGATTTTTTATTTTTTTTAAATGATTACAATAAATACATTTATGGTATTCGATCATTGATCCAAAGCTTGAGAGGTGGCTGTACAAAACCGTTGTTGGTAATGCTCAGTACCATTGGTCTAGAGGTTCCTGGTCGCTGTTTGTCATTGCTGAGGCCACTCTCCTTCTGCTTAATCGGCTGTTTGGTTTCTTCACTGTTCCCCTTTGCTTCTCCCTTGGTACCCGCACACTTCTCCTCCTTCAGGCCCTCTTGGTTTCCAGTCACAACGAAGCTTACATCCTTGTGCAGGAAACTTTCGACTCTCTTCAAAAGGAAAAAAACAAACAAAATCTGCTCATGAGTTTTTGCTGGGAGACACTGCTCATTATCAGACCTTTATCTTTGATTGTTAAAAATACTAACGTAAGAAAAAGCAGGTGTATAATTGAAGAAACCAGTTTTGGTTGCATTTTTTTTTTGTAGCTCCAAACAGGCTTTTGGGGGTCCAGCCAACAGTAAGCATGATTAGTTTATGTCCAGTAAAGGCAAAGAATCTGTGTTACCGTATGGCATTTGATCAACAAAAATGTCTAATATGTTTGAATGAATGAAATCCCTACTAACAAAACCGTTCTAAATAGTTAGTTCTTAATTCTTGTGATCTTGGCGCTGGATGGTTTTCCTTTGGGCCGGCTAAAGCTTCTTTGGAGTTTGCCAAAAAGATCCTCTATGCAGGAATAACCCAGGGTTCGATGTTGTCAGCTTACAGTCCGACTACTCCTTCAGAGCACTTTTGATTGAATTAATCGTATGATGTGATCAGATCACCTCTTTCAAAACACAGCTACAATACCACATTTTTCCTGAAATTGATCAGGTAAAAACGTTTTGCAAATCATTCAGATCACAGCCTAAATCAAAACCTGATAACATTCCTTGTCCATAAACTACAATAAACAATGGTGGTTCACTTTAGGGGCTGTAAAACTACAGAACGGCACACACGCTTACCCCTCCTAGAAGTGATATGGCCTCCAAAAGCAGGGCTGTCGGCCGTTTCTTCACATTGTCCAGGTAGAAGGTCTTCCCCTCCAGCTTCTTCTCCCCAGGACAGAGTTTTCCCAGAAGCCCTCGCTCCTTTAAATGCTGCTGGGGCTGCATGATCCTGGTGCAGTAAAGGAGCTCTCTGCTTCTTCACACCAAGACACCAGGATCCTACATACAAGATCAAAACAAGGTCTCCTTTCAAGAACCAAATGAAAGCAATAATCATTTCTAACAACAGTTTTGACAAAACGTGTCCAACTCGTTGGAATACAAGATCCACAAAGCCTTACTTCAAACTACTATATCAGTCTAAACTTATTACTTATCATTATTATTATTATATTACTTAGTACTTATTATTTAATAGGCTTTTTCTTTATAAACCAGGACCTGAGTACTTATTTCGTGCAACGGCATGTGAACGTGAGCTGGCATGACAAATAAAGTTCCTTAAATTCTTGAAAATCATGTGTTTCTAACAGTTAAACATCATCTGTTGTTTCTGAAATGTCAAATTGAAGTAGGTTTTTATAAAAGACGTTATTTAAAACAATATTGTAGCAAGTTTAGCCTTGCCATCCAGCAGAAGGAGCATGTTGCTATAGTTTACCATCCAACCACAGCTGCGCAGTTTGAGCGTCAAGCTAGCCACACTGCTAGCCTGGCAGCTCGCACACTTAGCTGCGAGTGCTAGGCTTTAGCTTCCTTAGCTGGGTTAGCTTTCCTCAAGTTGACGACAGAACGCGTTAGTCAAAGTAGCTGGTTTAAAGCCTTCTGACGGATCGTCGGTGGCAAAATAACGAACGACTGCTCACTTACGTTTCGTCGCGGTGCTGCAGCGCTGCGATAAACAAATAGCTGCTATCGGTTCATCGAAAGCTGGTGGAGATGTAACCGCCGCTTTTTCAAAAACACTGGCGGAGAAGTGGACGCACAGCCGACGTCAAATCCGGCACCACGCTGCCTTCAGGTGCTTTATAAAAATACACTGGATTTAAATTTCTAAAGGCTGCCCGTGTGTCTGACTTTTTAACTCATTCAGTTCTGTTTTTAAGTTAAATGCAAAATTCTTCTCATTATAAAGCTGCTCCTGACACAAGCTACCATGAACTTTGTCTTGTATTTTCAAAGTCGATTTTTGCAGTTATGAGTTTTACGTAAGGTCCTGACAGTATCCTGAACGCAGCACAAGTCATTTTCTATGTAAGTAAATTTTAGTCTCTGGTTCTTCTAGTTTTTGAAGCTAACACATTCACCTTTTCCTGCTTGATGTAAATAGTGTGGGATAATATCTATGGGCTATTTGAAGCATTCATGTATATATGAAAATAAATGGTAAAAGTACAGCTCTTCTCCTCTGAACAATTACATACAAACCACCAAAGAGAATAAACTGACTACTGATATTTCAATAAGCACTGAAATGTGTACGAAAATAACATGTTAAGAAATAATATCTGAGGTTGTTTTCACCTCCTGTAACTGTCAAAAAGTTGGATTAATTTTGTTGTCGTGACAATGTTTTTGCATTTTTGCACAGACAAAAACAAAATGATATGACCATGCATGGGTGCTTTAAATTATTTATCTACTGAATGCAAATAGTGTCCTTAGTTCTTCAATACAAGCACATTAACAGATCAGTAATTATTTCTCAATTTATTGTTTCATCAGATTGTGTGATTGTACCAGCCCAACAGGCTGGTTAAGGTTATGTGAGCAATGTCTGTGATCCTTATCCAAAGAAGAACCAGGTTCTGGGTCATGGGCTACTACAGTCATAGGATCATATTGATCATTTAGCTGGGTGTTGTACTCATGCTTATAGATGACAGCTACTCATTGTGATTCCTTTATAACAAGATAAGATATACAAGGACCTCTGGCATTTTAAAACTTGCCAACGAACTAACTTTTACACAAAAATACATTTAATATTGTGAGAATTGCAACTAATAAGGCTAAAAAATAATGCAATAAAGATTAAAAACAGAAACAAAAAATGCTGAGCAATGCCGGGTTTATTATCTAGTGTAACATTTCTATCATGTCAGCTTTAGTGGCTTGCTTGAGAGTTCTATTTGGAACACTAGTGGCTCTTTAAATAGGTTGTAATTAAAATATATTGCCTCAAAATACTGCACTTGTCAGCAATGTTTGTCTTCTCTTTTAAAATGAACATGTGCATTTAAAAGTGTGCTTGTCCTGCAGTGGGTAAAATGTGATTTCAAAACCTAATACACTCAATTACCGTTGCATTAACTACCAACATATAACGCTGAGCACAAGTGCTGAAACAGCTTTACCTGCCGAACCCTCACTGAAGGAGAAAAGACAGGATGTTGTAAAGGACAAAATTTTTTCTCTCCCCATCCTGTCCAGCAGAGGGCGATGTGATTCTAAATACTGAAGCTTAATTTAGACCAATATACTCACACTGACTTTAATAATAATACTGTACACCCAGGCTTGACACCTAAATTGTTGAATGTAAGACAAGGACCATAAGACAAATACAAATTCTTTATTTAAAACATGCACTTCTTGTTCATAAAAATATTTTTCTCAAAATGAAAAACTGGCAGTGCAAACAAACGGCCCTACTGGCATTTTAGTTTGAAAATATGTAAATTAAAGTATGTCAGTGACAAAGAATTGTGTATACCGGGTCTAACGGACTAACAGTTGAGAAAATGTTCACAGCATAACCTTGTAATAAAAACGTCAAAAATGATAATAGCTTGACAGTAAGACACTAACAACAGCTCGAACATCAGGGACAAACATTGCCAAACATTTCCATTTACCAATACGTTTCACAATCTGTCAAACATTTATGTCAGAACTTTTTTTCTCTCTTCAAAATCAGCAGAAAGGCTGTAAACTTACCAACTGAAAATATGGCAAAACTACCAGTTTAAACATCCATCCATTCATCCATCCATTATCTATACACCGCTTAATCCTCACTAGGGTCATGGGGGGCTGGAGTCTATCCCAGGTGACTCAGGGTGAAGGCAGGGGACACCCTGGACAGGTCACCAGTCTATCACAGGGCTACACTTGGAGACAGACAACCAAGCACACTCACATTCACACCTACGGACAATTTAGAATCACTGATTAACCTCAACATGTTTTTGGACTGTGTGGAAGGAAGCCAGAGAACCCGCAGAGAACCCACGCTGCACGGGGAGAACATGGAGACTCCACGCAGAAAGATCCCGGGTGTCCTCACCGGGATGCAAACCGGCGACCTTCTATCTGCGAGGCAACAATGCTAACCACCGCCCCACCTTTGCAGCCCTCAGCTTAAACATACGTCCTTTTAATTTTTCTTCATGGCTTTGGAAGACAGTCGCTCCACATTAAAGATGGTTCGGTAGAAAAAACAAAAAACACTTTTGCATATTCAGAAACAACCGTATTGTTCCAAGCTTCAACCCCCTGATGGTAACAAAACTATTCACACCGACAGCAGGAGGTCCTGTTTTTAGTCTATAGTGCTTTTATAAAGAAAAAAACCCAACTTTGACTGTTGAACAAAAAGTGCTGCAGAGTCAGCATGAAGCAGCTCTTTGACTGTCTGAGTAAGGCACTATAGATTACAGCATGGACGCGTCTTTTTAATTACGGCACCAAGATCTTACAGAAAACCCTATGAAAATATATTCTGTTTTGATAGCTTTGCTCCACTGCAATGCAATGCTGTTACATTTGCAACAGAGCTAAATGCCATTTTGTGCCACAGTCACATTATTTTCAACCGTTTCTTGCAAGTTGCTGTTCACATGTTAGTCGCAGGGTCTAGTTTCTTTCACCGCTCAATGCACAACACTAATACTAAAACTGTAAAGCACAAGTTTAGACTTATTGTAGTTAGGCCATGACTATTTTGTGTTTCTCCCAGAGGTGTAAAGGCTGCTTTTAGACCAACATTATACTTGAAATAACATATTTTTAAACAACTAAAGACAAAATTTTGCATACCTTTGTAAACTGTAAGGATATCTTGCATAAAAAAACCCCATCAATCTCTAATATAGCTGCATTAATCATGCTGTTTACTAGCAGAGAAGACATTTACCTTCACAAATGTGTGGTAAACTGTTTGGTTTTCATTGGTCAGCTTTGGTTTTCAGATATTTTCACTTATTATTTTCATTGCATGATGATTATTGAAAACACAGACAATTGGGTTGGCCTGCCTTGTTATATAAAGATAGATATAATAAAGCAAATACTGTGTCTGCTGAGGCTTTGCATTGTTTCAAGAATAACACAAAAAAATAACAGTCTGTGTTTTAGATCCACTCAGAGCCCTTTATCACTCCATATTTGCTGCTGCTGCTGGTGCCGCTGCTGCCTCTGTCTGTGTCCGCCTTGCTGGAGGCGTGTCTGGAGGCCTGCCGGTGTTTGCGTTCGCGGTGAGGCTTGCTGTGGTTATTACTGTGGCTCTGCAGCTGGCTGTAGGCCTGACTGTCAACCTCCAGCTTGTTCTGAGGCTGACCGATGTCCTTATGAACACCTCTGGGGGCCTCTCCCGTCCCAGCTCTGCACAGGTTTTCATCGTTATTGGTGTACTGCTGACGCTCCTCTTGTGCAATATTCACGTGGTTCTGCCGACATGCCATCTTGGAATTGGTGAGATCGGTGATGGGTAGCGGTTGGTTGTGGTTTCCTGTAGGTACCAGAAGAGGCTTTATGGCGATGTTGTAACCCGGTGGAGCCGACGGTGGGTTCCAAGAACAGGGGTAGCTGCTGTAATCGTCTGCGCTCAATCCTGCCTCATTGAGAGCCACTTGTCCTCTCGTCAATCTGTACAGCTCATCGTCGGGGAGCTGCACCCGGCGGGAGCGGATTATTTCACAGATGGTACCGATGCCCAGGTGAAGCATCTCCCATATGTTGAGCGCCAGACAGAGCAGGGAGACCGTGTACATGATGAGGAGAAAGATGGTTTTCTCAGTCGGCCGCGACACAAAGCAGTCCACGCTATGAGGGCAGGGCAGGTCCGAGCAGACGTAGGTGGCAGGTACAGCAAATCCATACAGGGCATACTGTCCACATAAGAAAGCCACCTCCAGCAAGGAGCGGATCAACAGCTGGATGACATAGATACGCATCAATCCATCCTCTTTAATACGCTGACGCCCATCATGGCGGACCTTGACTTTACCTTGTCTGTCACCACCGCCTCCTTTTGCTGCTCCCCCACCGTCGCTCTCCACCTCTGTCATTTCATAGATCATTGGGTCTTCCTCGTTATCATCCTCCGCCTCCTCAATGCCCCTGTGCTGCTTTCTGCCCGCCAGATAGTGCTTCTTGGGTTTCCTTCGTGAAAATCCATTCCCTCCCCCGCTGTCGGCCTGCTCCTCGGCCCGAGCGATCTTGTTGACAGCGTAGCCCAGGTACATGAGCGACGGCGTGGCCACCAGAATGATTTGGAAGACCCAGAAGCGGACGTGCGAGAGCGGAGCGAAGGCGTCGTAGCAGACGTTCTCACAGCCCGGCTGGCCAGAGTTGCAGACAAACTTACTCTGCTCATCGTAGTAGATGGACTCACCTCCTACGGCTGTCAGCACAATGCGGAAAACAATGAGGACAGTGAGCCAGATTTTGCCCACAAACGTGGAATGGTTGTGGATTTCTTCCAGCAGGCGAGTCAGGAAACTCCAACTCATGGTAGTGGCAGGGAAACTACAGTGCGAGGCAACATACACCTTCTGCTACTGTCCTGTGGAGAGAACAGAAATGATTGTGAGGAAAATGTCCACATTATACTCACAATTCATTCATTTAGCTAAACCAACCTATAAGGAACATAGGAGGTTGTTACATCATCTCTATACCAGCTGCCAAGGGCAACTGCATTGTAGTTTTTTTTTTTCCTTTCTCATACGGCAAAACATCCAGTCCAGCATTGTTGTGGGAGTGCAGCTGAGAACTGTGAGACCTTTAGTGTCAAGAAAAATAACACAGGCTTCCTACACAGTATTAACAGACGTAGAATGAGGTTAAAAAAAAAAAAGTCTATACACAACGAGCTCTACAAAAACTAAACCACACACATGTCAAGGTGTAAAAAGTTGCCTCCAGATACTTCTCAGGACCAAAGCACAGGATTCATACAGTAACAGATTAGGAATGGGATTAATAACAAATGTATTTACACACACACACTCAAACCAGTGCTTTATTTTGGGAAAAGCTAAGAGTTTTTTGGACCATTTGAGTATGATGAGGCAATTAGGGCAATGATGCTAGTTTACTGAGGCTTTGTCTCTTTAGCTAACTTACTAATTAGGCAAACACCTCTACATGCAAACGCAGAGTTTACACTGATAACGTTAACTCACAAGCTACAAAAAATCAAGCATTCAGAACAATCATCAACTGAATTCCTGCACAAAGTGATCAAAATGTGCTCTAAAGTGCTGCTCCCACTCATCTCTGCAAAGAGTCAACCTTTTCTAGGCAGCAATGTTCAGCAGTTCAGGTTGGATATAAAACAGTTAGCGTCAGGTTTTACGTTAAAATGAATTGATCCAAATTGACAGTTTTGTCTTGACAAAAAAGGTGCTCCTCCTAACCTGCCCTACAATTTTATAAATGACCTGAATAGTAAAGTTGCTCTAACCAGTGACCTCTTTATTGTAAAATATGTTTTCCATTTAAAGACAAGCAAATTATCGGCCCAGAAGCCACTGAAACAATCTTAAAGGCATTCCAGCCGTCTTAACAGTCTGATATGAAGACAGAGGGGGGAAAAAAAAGATGATTTATTAATCTGTCTTTTTGAGTATGTCTCTCAGTGTGTCTCTTTCCCACACGCAGAATAAATAGGCCAGTATTCATTCTCCAAACAAAGACGCTGCACACTCTTCTTATTGTATTCACAAAGCTCCGCTAGTTGGCACGCAGGGCTATGAGCACTTAAGTCTTCTGCAGGAGGCACACCTCCCTCCAAACACAGTTGCTGTGATTTGTAATGCAGTGCAGGCAAAGTGCTTTGTCTTTTCTATACATGGTTATCAAGCGGCGCATTTCTGCACAATAATAACACTTTTATCCTTCTTCTTTTAATAGCTGTGCCTTAAGGCTGGAGTCTAAACACACCCCTGGCAATAACACACAAAGGAAAGAGTAATGATGACACTGGAATGTCTAACCATAATTGCTATTGTTAACTGAACTCCCCTGATAGGTATTTTATTTGACATTATTGCTATGGCTGATCATCCAGATGTTCCATACACTACAAATGCTCTCATAAACTACAAACCGATGATACGTACTGTATTTGCGCTGGAGAATGAGAGCTGATGCGCTAAAACCAGTTCTAGTCGTCCATTCATCGATTTTAAAATATATATATTTAACTAAATTACGCTATGTCACACATAGCGGTGCATTAAAAGGCAGGAGAAGGCCAATAACGAACAGTAAACGGATTCTCACTTTAAATACTTTAATCCTCTAAATTGTGAGGCATTTACTGCCATCTATATATTGCTGTCAAATGTGCATTAACCCTAAATGCAGTCACCATTTATCCCCACCGAATGTGACGGGTATTTATACTGTAAAAAACTGATTAACTAAAGTAAAGCCATTAATTGATTGTCCATAATGGCAACACATTATCTTACTAATATCACACATTAGGGGCTACTTAACATTACTTTATAGCGACAGCAATGCGCAAGCTGTGATTTACACACAAATTATATTACATGGATATTTCAGAACTAAAAAATTAGGTATATTAGGTTGTTTACATACTAATCTACAGAGCAACAGCAGCACATAGAAAAAAACCCAAAGTATAGAACCACGCAGTACTCCTACAGAACGCACAGATTTCTTTATCCGCTACATTTCTTTTTTTAATCAGTCCACAATAAAAATATTTTTATCCACTGCTGAACTAGAACATACTGCAGCTAACCCAGAAAAACCTCTGTTTAACCTGAAGACACCCATCTGCTCAAATCTCACACTGCAGACGCCGCGTGTGACGGAAAAGGTCTAGACAATCTGCACATGTGATGCGTGTTTGAGTGTGTGCGCGTTTGTGTACGTGAGGTCGGAGGGCTCCTTAGAATAGTGTGTATTCAAACAATACGTCTCCTGTGCTGCTGGTATTAAATGCACTTTACAGTCATTTACCCACGAGGGACGGAGACCGGGGCAAACACAGTCAGGTGATATAGGAACACGCCTGATGTTGTTGTCGTACTGTCTGTGTGACATCAGTTGTGTTACTATAATGTTGTCAGAAAACTATTCTTTCAGTTTTGATCTATATGTAAGTGAGGAAGAGTCTGTTATTGTCACTGAACACGTGAAGAAGTGACAGAAAATTAATTAGCAACAATCCTGATAATAGTTAACAGATTAAATTGTTTAAGATTTGCTTTGTATCACGCTACACTGAATATTGTGGACATCAGCATCTCAATCATACTGTTATCTTTAATAGGTAATACAATAACTTAAATAATAATAAAAGGTTTGTTGGGGTTTTGGGAGTGAGGGCACTGCTTTTATGTTTTTTTTCCTTTTCCTTTAGCTCTGTAAAGCACTTTTTGTGTTCCATTTGTATGAAAAGTACAATAAAAATAAAATTTAACTGACCGATTGAGAGGTTGGTCTGATACACTACATCAGCGGGGACTCATTTATCCAAATACGAAACTCCTCCACAAGTCCAGACTAAATCTGTTATTACAAAAGTGCAAATTCATTGTATGAGTGCATACGCAGGACTCTACGCACACAAAGTTTCTCGCACTGAGTCAGCCCGACACACAAAAAAAACCCCAGGTCCAGCTGCTGATAACACAAGAGTTACAACACTGTCTAAGGCCTCTCTCTGTGAAGAAAAAAGAAATGGTTTGACTCTCTCATTAAGAGTCACGTGCCCTCTCAAACTGCACATCTGGCCGTGTTGTGTAATGTACCATTTGGAGGCCCTGTAGCAAAGCTATCACCACCCAAACACAAAGGTAAAAAAAAAAAGAAATCTCAAGACACAATCCCTCACATTGCTCATTTTCAGCTCATCAGCAAAGCAAAACATGCTGCGGCACAACACAAGTATTCACCTCACACAAAACATCGTTAGGTCTAATTGATCCTCTTGCATGAAAGTAAAGACAGACTCAAAATGAAGTGTTATCAATAAATGCTCTAACCGAACCCTGGGGTGTTTCTGACAGCTGGTATGTTGTTTGTATCTTGTACTTGGTCAACTTGAGAACAAGGACAGACTGTTTGTCACAAGCACTGAGGTTTTGTGGTTTCTGCTGACAGGACCTGGTGGCGAATCTATTTCTATTTCAGCTTTTGTACAGGTTTTGATTACATTTTACTCACCAAACAACAAACTCCCACATCGACACACCAGTCGGGGAAGCAGCCTAAGCGCACGTGATCCCCCAATTTTGAGATAATTATTTTAAAGAGAAAACAGCACCTCGGCCTCCCAACGTGAACACGAACAAATGGGTGAATAAACATGTGTTTGGATAATTACCTTTAAGTTATTGTGGCCAGATTTTTGGGATAAACACATCATGTTAAACACGTATGTACCAAACCAGAGCTCTGAACCAGAGTTGTCAACACTTTTTCTGGCACATACCTCTGTAAAAGCCCTTAATTTAGTGGTAGGAAAAACAGAACATAAACCTCACACTTATGCCTTAACGTAAAACTCCTTAGTCTAAAAATGTAGCTACAGCCCTGTAGTCAGGGTTACAAGCAGCGCCACATCGAAAGCCTGTAGGTGGTATAGTGCACTTTCTCCAGATGTCTCCCATCCACAGACCAGCAGCCTCCTGCTTCCTACAGAGCCTGTAAAAGAAACCCAGCTTTGTACATACCTATCTAAGAAGGCTTCAAGCTGTGAACGTAAAGGTCTGTGGTTTCCTTCAAAGCAGTAAAAGCGATGCTCCACCCAAAATCTATCTTCGAGTATGAAACACTCGCCAACTATTAACTTGAAAGGCGACTGTAAAAAGTTTGTAGTTTGCTGACATGGCTCTTTAAGTATTTTTTGGGGGGTATTTTTCCTTGATTAGTCCCACGCTACACAGTAGAGAGCTGGCGGTGGTGGGAAAAATCGAAATAACGAAGGGGGCGATGTGCAGCAAACATCCTCGTTTGGACCTAAACCAGACATGTTGCAACCACACGATCAGCATCTTAAATGCACTTGCCATGTCATATAGACCGAGGAAACGGTTCGGGCTGTTTCAGCGTTGTGTTCGGAAGCCAATCAGTCAACAGGAATTCACAGCAACAAAAGACGCTAGAGGCAGGACTGTCTGGAGAACCCATGAGCACTAATGAGGACTGAATCAAAAAAAAAACTATGACAATAGCCAGCAGTATAAATCGGAGGCAGAAGCCGCCATCACGACATGTCATAGCTGACTTTCTCTAACAGAACAAGAAATAATGTCCTGAGGAAAAGCTCCAAATGAAAGAAGAATTGCAAGTATAGTTACCTAATGTTTAGGTTCAGCGTGGCTTGTCACTGTAACGAGCATTTAAGACATTCAACAGGGTAGCTTTGTGAGCCGTTCATTCAAAGACACACAGAGGATGCAGCATGTGGAACATAATCTGATCAAGCCTCCAGCAAAGAGAGTTGGTTTGTCTACCTGCAAAAAGT